CAAACAAATTAAATGTCATTTCGTCTCTATTTCTGGTTATATACTCGTTGACGCCGTATACGACTTATATGTGTATATAATGGTGTTTATGTAATTTTGTAAATAAATATTAAACATTATGCATTTATATAGGACACCTGTTAAATAAGATGATATTCGATGGATATATCGAACAGTAAAAGATGTCAACCTGTGAAAAACTGGCTTTGTCAATGTTTTCTAAATCTAATCCAAACAATACTACCATTTAGCGTGTAAAGTTTGCTGTGTGTGTTATTGTAATGTAATGCTATATATTGGTTAACCATTGTATCTCTTGCTTAACGCTTTTCCAAGTGGGCTGAAAAGATCAACGACGAGGTAACAATAAAGACATTGTGCATGTCTTATTTATTTTGTTTATTTTGTTCCTAGATAATTTGGATAATATCTTATACTTTACCATCTCATCAGCATCTTTACCACCTGCTTTTTTATTTTGTATTATTTTATTCCTTATAGTCTGTCTTTTTTGAAGATGGAGTAAAGTGAGAATAGTCATCTAGTTGTTGTCGACAGTTTTATCGATTGATTGTGAAAATAGGTAAAAGTTTGCCAAAAATGTCTGAATTGTGAATGTTACAACGTTATAATGTTTAGTAATTGCATTATTGTATTCTTTATTTTTATTTGGACAGTTGATCTATTAGCACTGAAATCAATTTTCAGTCATACACATTTTAATGCACGGCAGAAGATGTCTACAATTACCGCGGCACATAAAATATTTGACTGCTTAGTTTCCGGTCTGGATGAGAAGTATAAAATGGCGGGCATATTTTGTGACTTGTCCAAGGCCTTTGATGTAATTAATCATGAACTGTTGTTGGATAAGTTATATCATTATGGAATACAGGGTAAGAGCCACAAACTTCTCACCTCGTTCTTATCGGATCGGAAGCAAGTGGTAAAATTATCCTCGAACGGTAAAAGACTGGAGTCCGTTGCTGGTAGTGTGAACTTAGGAATTCCTCAAGGGTCTGCCTTAGGAAACACGCTATTTCTATTATATGTAAATGACCTTCCCACTGCCATCACAGCCGGCCTCTCCGTACTGTTTGCGGATGACACAACAGTTATAGTTAGCGCGCGCACGTACGAACAGCTGGGACAGAGAATCGACGAAGGGTGTGACCAGCTCCAGAGGTGGTTTTCATCGAATGGGTTGCTGCTGAATATCACTAAATCCAACATCATGGTTTTCTCGGGTCGAGGTCTCACAGTTCCTCCGTGTGTAGCAAGCAATCCGATGCCGATATGCAATGAGAGTAGGTTCCTTGGCTTCACTCTGGACTCGAACCTTAACTGGAAGTGCCATGTTGACAGACTGTGTGATAGAATGAGTGGTGCAGTCTTTGCGTTGCGTAAACTGAAATTGCTCATTTCTGATTCTGCATTAAGACAGGTCCATTTTGCATATTTCCACTCGCTGATGTCGTACGGTTCACTCATATAGGGTAACTCCACGGATGCCAATAGAGTCATGCTAATGCAAAAACGTGCCGTACGCGTATTGGTTGGGGTAAAACACAGACATTCCTGCAGAAATCTCTTTGTAGCGCAACGCATAATGACGCACTACTCACTCTACTTATATGAAATTATAATGTACGTTAGAAATAATCTGTCTTCATTTGGTACTGTAAATGTTTCTGGCATCCCACTTCGCCGTACCGGTCATTTGAGAACAGTCCCTCGACGCATGGCACTTGCAGAGAAAAACCCGCGTGTCATCGGACCTACTTACTATGAGCGTTTACCCGCTACTCTCAGACTTGAACCGTCTGACGAAACGTTTAGGCGCCGGCTGAAAGACTTTTTCTTGAAAAATCCTATATACTCTGTAAAAGAATTTATGGACTTTAAATTGTAACGAATTCAGTATTTTCTATTTTTATATTTTTATTCTAATTTTTACCGCATTAACATGCTCTTGTATAATTATCAACTTATGACGATCCTTGATGGAGAATGATATTTGATATGTAATTTAATGACAACAATATTATATAATGGATTGTTAATTTTCTAATTATTGTGTGCTTTTCTTATAATTTTCCTTTTTGTCTGACGATCTCAATATAATTTCTTATACTTTGACATGTAGTGCAATTTATACTGTAATGTTATATTTGAGAAATAAATGAATCTGAATCTGAATCTAATACCGACAGACGGTTGATTATGTATATTAAATTCAAATGAAAAACTAAAATATGTCTCCTTTTAGTATTTTTATACACGTACTGCTAAATTTAGAGTATGTATGATTTTTCAAAAATTAAAAATTTAAATGAACCTGTGTCCAGCAGTTGGGCGAATAACTGGTCGATGATGATTGAAATGACACACGTTCGGCTGTTTATTTCATAAGCATAGTCAACATTCAGTCGATAGTCAATATAATATTTGTCGACTGCAATCACTAGCCACTTGCAAGCGAACAACACTCGCGCAATGAACTGTCATTTTACTCCATTCTCAAAAAAGACAGACTATACGTAATTATCAACAGTTACGTGTATCGTTAAACTTAAAAAACATAGTATGGCAACATTTAACATTTGATTGTATATTGTATAATATATTCTTCTTTTTTTTTTATTAGTCTCTAATATTCAATTACTTGCAAAATGAAAAACCCAACTCCTCAGCAAATAAAAATCACCTTTTTCTTGACGCAATTTAAAAAAAAAACCGTAAGACGTTGCCTACAGATGTAGATATCAGTAGCCATTTTCTATCAGGTGGACGGACCATCACCGGTTTGTAAAAAACATTCTGAGAAAACTTAATTCTTATTCACTGAGGGGTGGATATGCAATTTTGTAGGGTAGTTTATTGCAAGATTGAACTTTTCGACATGCGTTAATGTTTGTGTACAGTGGAGAAGAGATAGGCGAGAACAATGACAGCCAAAACGAGGAGGAAGAGTGGCCGCCATTCCGCAGAGTCGGCACCTTCGATCCATACAGTGACGACCCACGACTCGCTGTCAAAAAGGTACCACAACCTGTCGCACTGTATTTGCCACCTGAACAACTAACGAAACTTTGAAATGATTTGCTTGCAGGTAATCCTCTGTCCGCTGTCCGGCAAGCTGACAATCGGCGGCGCCGCGGGACACATCGTCATCGCCAGCCTCAGTAATTCTTCTAACACTGGTGAAATTAAGGTACAGGAACCATAGTTATATCGAAGCTAAAATAATAGAATCAGTAATTAAACAATATTAAAGGACTAAAAGTTTTGAATACGACATTACAAAAGAATACAATTCAACTTGATTGATGTAGAAGGTGAAAGCGTGTATTATAATAAGAATGTGTAATTAATTCCAGACGATGTCAGTAAACATTGTGTCAGATCGCGACGGATTCGTGTGGAAAGGCCATGATCAGCTTACACTACGCTCGGGTATTCACAGCTTCCCACAGGGATACCAGGTACAACTTCCACTGATAAGCTATTTTTATCTTCTAATTTTGTTACAGTTCAAACAGAACTAATAATTAAACAATTATATTTCTTATTTCACTCACAAACACAATGTGTAATCAACTATAGAATTCATATACTGAAATATCTCTTGGCAGTCATCCCAGCTTGCCGCCCAACGGTAAAAGAAGGCCATAGATAAAACGTGCAAAAAAATAAAGATATAAAATGTAACCGATAAAGCCTTTGAAGTATTGATGATAATCAACTTAAATGTGGTATCAAATACCGATCTCTTTAATAATAAAAATGCATACGCTGGCATTTTACAGGTGACGTCAGTGGTGCAGTTGCACCCGCCGGCGGCAGTGACATCCCTGGGCGCTCACTGGGAATGGGGGCTGGTGTGTGTCGGCACAGCCCACGGGCTGGCGCTGCTCGACGCCATCTGCGCCAAGCCGCTGTTGCACAAATGCACGCTCAACCCTCACGGTTAGTCACCTTAAGCCCCAGTAGTATGGGGTCAGTTATATGTAACATGAAATCCTACCTAAAGTGAAAGTCAAATAATCTTTATTTCATAGGTAAGCAAATTACACTTCAAATCGTCACACTGATTGAATACCGTTTCGTATTACGTACTGTCGTGTATTAAAATTGTTCTGATACATATTCAGATCATTCTGGTGCCGGCGACACGCCAATCTCGAGAAGAAAATCCTTCAAAAAGTCTCTGCGAGAGTCATTCCGACGACTCCGGAAAGGCAGATCGCAACGGCGACAGACAACTGCCGCTAGCCCCACCTCACCTGCACAAGTGAGTTTTAAATACTCAATTTTCATACCACATCAATAAATAACCTTTCAAATCATAGTTCGGATTTTATTTTAAGGTTATATGGTCAGAACCGTGGTTTTATTGTGCCGGTCCTAAATGATCGTTTACTTATAGCCGGCAGCGAAAAAAGCCGCGGACAAGGCAGCAGCGGAGGCGGACACAGAGATAAAACCAGTGGAACGGGCGGTGGAGGCTCGCTCCAACGATGACGCCTTTGGTTCCATGGTGCGCTGCCTGTACTTCGCACGTACCTTCCTTGTCAGCAGTCAGTATTTTTTCCTAAACTTGTAAAATAATGGCTACATAATCTTGGCTGTTGTGTACAAAACTCAGCATTTGAATTTCAGAAATCATTGAGTTAAAAGGTCTAACCTGAAACTGAAAATAAAAGAAAAATCTCTTGCAACTTGTATTTATTACAGCACAAAACTCTACCCCCACGCTTTGGGCGGGCACCAACAACGGCACAGTGTACGCGTTCACGATACACGTACCTAACACCAACAAACGGAAAGAAGACCCTGTAAGTATTTTATAAAAAATACTTCACAATTTTTAACTATTTTTTTTTCGGTACACACTACCATAATCAGAATCACTTGTAGTTATTAATTTTATATCAGGACATACAGAAGTATTGTTACTAAATAACAATAAATCTGATCATAAAAGCTTTACAGTATATTTTTTCAAATGAGACATAAATAAACTTAGTATAATTGTCTCCTAGCCTGTTGAAATATATGTTCGTCAAAACGTATAAATTTTGTCTAAAGTGAACATGGTCCCTAGCAGTGGCGAGGCGTGAAAATTGTCGTTGGTAAAGTCGGAGCAAAACCAAAAGCACTTAACAAACACTTCTTTTGCCCGGTTAAAAAGGCGTCTCGGCAACACTTAACTTACTTAACTTAACACACAACACTTATTAGTATATAAGTTACTACATATTTATAGTTTGTATAGTTATTGTTTTGCACTGTTAAATTCAGCGCCAAATGTAGTAAATTACTTTAAAAATGTAAAAACAAACTTTCGATACGCGACGGTGAAGCAAATTTTGCAGTTTTAATTTTTAATTGTAACTACTAATTATAATAACACGAATGCACATGTCTGTGCACTAACATCTACGTTCTTTACGTAAGTCTGAGTACATTTTTCGTCGCAACAAATGCATCGAACGCGTTAGCGTTAAAACCGTAATTATAGCAACAGAATTCGGGAGTGTATTTTTCCACCTTGAAATGCGGAACAATTTGTTTTCGAAACCACGACACAGCGTAAAACGTTTTGAAGCCCATTACAAGGGCTTTTGCAAGTGTGTGTTCGAAATTTCACCTTATTCTGTAGTTGTCACTTGACGTTTGGCTTGCGAGAGTGCGTTTACACGTAAATTTGTTGATATGTGGAATGATATAAGATTTGGTATGTAATTACTAATTAATTGTTACTGTTATTAAATTTATTTTTAAATCACTCCATACTTGAAGTATTAGAAAAATCATTAAATAATTTTAAAACTACAAAAAACCATTTAAGGTTTAATTCCTACTATACAATAGAAAATTAAGCCACCAACACCAATAAGAATAGGTCTAGTTGAGTGAATTAATGACTTATAAACGAACCAAAAGTAATTAGTATCAATACCTAATATCCATAACTATGAGTTGCATACTTTTTGCACCTTTCAGTAATGTTATTGTCGCCTGCAGGGTCAGCATTAGCAGAATTTTGAGCGTTTTAGTGGGTTTATTAAATTCCCCATATCCATAAACATAAACACAAAAATATTTAGATATTACAATACTGCTTAAGTCTTGTGTCACTGAAATTTTTTTTTGAAGACCAACTCACAACACTCACTGTTTTATGAAAGTAACCAGCATAGCAAACTATGTCCCACTTCTTTTCATTTTAATTACAATACAATTACAAATTTCAAGACAACTTCGTAATCGTAATAATTAAATACGCGGGCATCAGACACCAACAATGTCCAGTTGTCAATCGTTTCGAGATCTTATGTCTCTTTTATTCTCGCGAGCAAAAATTAAATATAAATACAGCCTTGGCCAAAAGTATTGAGGGTGCTCAATACTTTTGGCCTAGGCAATGATAACTCATAGTTTTTTGGGGAATATGAAAATGAAATAATTTGAAACAATTTACACATGTTAATATTACTATTTATTAAATAAAAATCAATATTTCGTGTGTCCACCCTTTGCCTTAATTACGGCAGAAATTCTTTTTGGTAGAGAGCGGACAAGATTTTTACAGTCTTCAGGACGTATTTCTTCAGGAGCGTTCCATTCTTGGCGCAGACGGCCTTTTAGTTCTTCCTTTGTATTTATTGGGTGGCGCCTGACGTTGCGCTTTAATAAACCCCGTAAATGTTCTATGGGGTTTAGGTCCGGAGACTGGGCAGGCCACTCCAGAAGCTCAATGTTTTTTTCTCTAAACCATGTCATAGTGCTGGCAGATTTATGACATGGCGCGTTATCCTGCTGGAATTTGACGCCATCCATATTTGTATCGCCAATAAGAGTTGAAAATGAGGGCAGCAACGCAGATTCCAGGACGTTGATGTATTTTGAAGACTTCATGCGACCCTCACACACAAACATTTCGCCAACTCCTGAATCAGTCATGCAGCCCCAGATTATTATGCTGCCTCCGCCGTGTTTTACGGTTGGCACTATACAGGCTGGACTAAATTCTTCGCCTGCCCGGCGGCGCACAAAAATCACACCAGGTGTACCAAAAATCTGAAATTTTTTTTAAATGTAGTGACTTCGGAAATCTAAAATATTTTTGTTATTGAATTTTATTTTCAAATCACATTGTTTAATATCTTAAGAACGTGAAATTGTCTAACTCACCTCAAATTTTGACTCGTCTGACCACACGACATTTGACCAATCTTCTTCGGTGAAACTTTGATATTTTAAGGCCCATTCATACCGAGCCTTCTTGTTGTTTTGTGAGAGCCATGGTTTCTCCCTGGCTTTACAGCCTTTCAGACCAACTTCCTTAAGCCTTCTTCGAGTAGTGCGAGCAGAAATACGTCTGTTAATTTCGACAGAGAAATCAGCAGCGAGATCTGAAGAAGTTTTCTTCCTATTTTTTAACGACTCTCTCATTAACTTTCGGTCCTCACGATCTGTGGTGATGCGTTTGCGCCCTGTTCTGTATCTGTTACTATGGGACCCAGTAGCGGCGAATCGCTCAATAGTTAATTGCACAGATCGGCGCGAACATTTCGCAGTTTTAGAAATCTCTACCTGTGATTTCCCTTGCTCATGCAGAAGTTGTATCTGCACACGTTGTTCTAAACTAAGTTCGTTTTTTTTAGACATATTGCAACAATATCACTAAATGGAACTAAACAAAATACCAAAAGCGCACTAGATCACTGGATGTGTACGTAACGAATGATAGTAGTGAACTGAGAAATAAATACAAAAATCGTAAAATGACAAATTTTATGGCACCAGGTGTTTTATTGCTAGTTACGGTGTGGGGGTCATTGTTTTTAAACCTTTGTAGATGCCGAAAAAATAATCCTTAACAATAGGACCTGTTTTCTGCAAGTGCCCGTTCGGGATTTTTAGGGTGCTCAATACTTTTGGCCAAGGCTGTATGTTCTTTCATAAAAATTATTACCCAAATAAATTGAGTAGAACTCACGACACACATCAAAGCACATATAAAATCATATTTCTAATTTAGTTGTATTAATATCATAGCTGGCAACTTACAGGAATTAACTTTAAGTTTTTTTCCTGTAAATTGGCGATTATCGCCAAAGTCATCTGTATTTAAAAATAAACCATAAATGAATGGAGATAAGATTTAAATTTACGTGAACGCTATTCGATGATAACCCGATAATCTTCGGGTTGTGGGCCGCCATTATTAGGTCCTATTCCATTATGTTTTTTGCAAATGGGTGCGTGTATTTTGATGTGAGCGAATTGATTTCTTGAATGAAATAAATGCCGGGACGATGGCAGGTTGTACTCTACAGGGACTCTTAAAGAATTTCAGTTTGTACAATATTATTTTTAATTTTTTAAGTAATACTTTTGGTCCGTTATAAATACTTTCTTTTTTATTATTAATTTTTAAGTTGTAGTGTTTAAGTTTAGTTATTATAATTCATTTATTTCTTTTGTTGTATTTTTAAGCTGATGGCCTCGTAGCCAATGCTAATAAATAATTTAAAAAAAAAATGGCGGCTTATTCGTGCTGTCATTGGTTAAGATCCACCGAGAAGGCTACAACAAACACTCTTTGTGAGTATAGTGTTCTGTGGTTACAATACGTCGTATTATCAAGGACTTTACGCACGCGTTTATTAATGAATTATTTGAAATTTGGAATGTACGATTTTTAAGTGGTGGGATATGCGCGCTGTCTTTTGAATATACGTGGAAAATTTTAGGCAAGCCAGTGGGAATCGAGTTATATGGACGCCTCGCCACTGGTCCCTAGTATCTAAATGCATCTCAAGCAAACTTTAAATATTTTCAACGCATAATAATATTTTCGCAGGTAACATGTCAACTCGCTAAGGAGATACAACTGAAGCACCGAGCGCCCGTTATAGGAATCACCATTCTAGATGGTGGATCATCTCCTTTGCCGGACCCTCTTGAGGTATGATGCTTTGACAAAGTGAGCTTTAGTTACCAAGTAACAGAGAGTACCAACTCGATGAAGAATCATGCGAGTAGACAGACATGCATACTTGTAACATTTCGACGAATCTGTATTCATTATGAGATGCAAAAAGTTTTCCATTAAATGATTTTAACTTAAGTCAAATAAATTTCAATTCTACGGTAGTCAAATTAAATGAACAGGCGCATGTTGTCATCTATATTATGTAGTTCAAAGTCCAAAGCTCAGCGGGCTACTTTAATGTTATTGTTAGGTCGAACGAGGCGTTGCAGCATTGCCAGAAGCGGGTGCGCATCGCGTGGTGATTACATCCGAAGAGCAGTTCAAGGTGTTCACGCTGCCTGCACTCAAGCCGCACCACAAGTACAAGCTCACCGCACACGAGGGCGCACGGGTACTACACTCAATTATTTTATGACTGCATAGTTTAGTTTACTTAAAGAACTAACACATTGTTGCAAAAATACAATTATGTCAGGAGAATGTAGCAAGTAAAGGTCCAATGTATATGTCTACACCATTGGAACGACGTGATGTTGTTGATGTAATATGTATGTTATTAACATAAAAATTAAGTGAATGAATGTGGTAGCAACGTTAGAATCGTAGCAATAGGAGATAAATACTTACAAACTCCAATAATGCGGACTCTTTCTTTCTCCCAGTACCAGATGATATATTTTTAACTAAATGAGTTTGATGGCGGTAGTACTGACTTTCACAACTCCGATGTACTACTAGGTGCGACGAACGGCATGGTCAGCGTTCGAGTGCGGGCGGGAAGGCGAGAAGCATCGCGAGTGGTGTCTATTGTGCCTCACCAACCTCGGCGACTGTCTCGTTCTATCTGCTGATCTGCGCCGCCAGCTCAATGCCGCCGCCGTGCGTAAGGAGGACATCAAGTACGCACTTGCCAATTTAATTACGTTACTAATTTTATAATAAATTTGTCTTAGGGTGTTTCCAAAATCAACGATTACACAATGACCATGCATTTAATGCTTTACAGTTAGTTTCAAATCTGTTAATCGGCAATTATATTCGATTTAGTGGGCTCTACTTTTTTTATATGTTTTACCGTACGAAATATTATACAACAAGGGTGCTGTTTGTTTCAGTGGTATTTCAAGTTTATGCTTCTCAAAGCGGGGCGAAGCTCTCTACCTGCATTCATCATCAGAAATTCAGCGAATTACGCTCTCGGCCACTAAGGTACTACATAATGTTAAATTTTTAATATCTCTGTTATAATCAACATACTCATGCCTTGGTTCGTTGGACGAGGATGGATGGGCATGGATGGGCATGCGATCAAATGTTGAATTTGTCTTTATTGCAATATTTTATAATAAAAAAAACTTCTCACTTTTAGGTCACAATCGCGCGGTGTCATATACTTCTATCCCCGTGGGCAGTCGTAATTCGAGGAACGGCAGAAGAACCACCGCTCACCAACGGAGAGGCAAAGGTTAGATTTACATTTACATTTTATTTTTAATTGAACATTATATTTTTTTACGGCTGTAAATTATTCAATAAAACATTTCATTGTATTTTCAGTGTTTGCTATCTAATCTAGTCATATACAACAAATGCTTTAAATTCCCCTGATTGCTCCGCTAAGCAAGGGCGAGATTCAAGAAATTTTATTGCGAAGAGCCTCAAACACGCACGGCACACATCTTACAAGATTTGGCCAATATAATTGAGATGTTTAGTACGAAGGTGCATCTTTCCATGTCGCTTTTACCCATATTGTTACACCAACCTTCTTGCAAATAACAGCTTATAGAAAAACCGTTACGAATAAATATCCTCTTAGGAGGAAGTATTAGCAGAAGCAGTCCACGACGTAACCGCGGCATCGGGAGACATCACTGTGGATTCTGTCCGGGATCACACCAACACGCCCGGTGAACAGCCAGAGCTTAACATTAACCTGCAGGTCGGTACCACTTTCACCGTTAAGTAGAACATAGAGTGAGTACACCGGGTTGACATCGGGTTTCATAAAGGCTGAAGAAATCTCCCTGTAATATATAAATAAAAATTGTCACCAAAATTGAGTACAAAAAACTTACCTGAAAATTACCTTAATAATATGTGACAAAAATAATGCCCTCTTAGTTTCATGTTTACTTCATTTCAAATCATTTATTGTTTATTGTGTACGCACGTCTACAAGGTCTTATTTAACATTGTTGTGTCAGTACGTATTGCCAATTTTACGGCATACAATTTACATAAATAAATTAATTTAACAGTATACTACTACATTTTAATTACAAAATGTCAAATCTTAATTTTAATTCTTCATTATATTTATGTCATTATTTTGTGGTGGTTTACTATTATTCTATGTTCTTGCTATTTAAGTAATCGCTGACTTTATAATATGTTTTCCCAGTAATAAATTAAATAATCGCTTTTTAAAATTGGCATTGTCGTTAGGCTCAAGTACATAATTAGGCAGCTTATTGTATAGTTTTGGCGCCATCGCACAAATATTATCATGAAAGAGGGTAGTCTTACAGGCAACCAGTTTCAATTTATTGTGTCTTCGTGTACTTTCCACCTTGCTAAAGAGTGTGAGATTATATATTGAAGGAACTTACTACTAACTACTTATTGAAAACTAGTTTAAACATTCGATATTGTTGTACAGTATGTCAGATTATTTGTATACTTAATTCTAATTTCTAATGTACATTTTGTAACTGCACTATAATCAGAATTCGCAAGTGAACACGAGTTCTATGGTGGTAAAAACGACGACCCGAACAACAGTAAACGATAACAACACGGACGGCGGTAACACTACCTCAACCACTACAACCACCACCAATTCCACCACCGAGAACAGTGAGTACCACAACAGTGCCTTCCTATTTAATTAAACTTTTATTATAATTGATATGGATCTCTACGATCACTTTTTATGCTTAATTTCATGTAATTCTTGGACAAAACCCTTAAGAATACGAGAATTTTCACAAAACTAGGAAATAATTCTTGGCATTCGAAACGATACTTCCCGCATGAAAGCAATGTGCTTTGGCTGCAAATATACCATTCCTATGTATTAAATGTTTTAATTTACAATTTTTTCATATTGTATTGATGTTACCATATTTATGTAGAATTTAAGACTATCTGCAAACACAGTCTTACATTATTTCATAATTTATACACTAAGTACATTTAGATTTATTATCTACTTATAATTACAGCATATCAACATTCTCAGTGCTATTACGAGTTTATTTGATAGCAAACTTGCGCTACATATTATGTTTCTTACGTTTTTCTCTTAACACCATTAAACATACCCTATTTTCGTGGTAACATTAATAGCGGGCCTGACACTATCATTAAGAACTTCATTCATACATGGAAGAAGTTTCTCAATATATCTGTGGTAAAACGGAATAACTTACCACATTGAAAAACGTCAACACTAGCATAGTTTGCTCTACCATGTATTTTGGTAATGAGGGTACATACTGATATGATAATGTATGGCCAGCTTATAAATTCTGCATAATGTTACTTTGTATATTTTATGTTCTTGTTTCTCTGTTTGTATGTTTGACGGGCGCTTTGTGTTTTGTTCGTAGTCCTAGAGCACAGTCGCGAGGAGGGAGTCATCACGCGCATCGAGGTATCCCACACTTTGCTTTAATATTTATCTAATTTATTTTCATACTCTAAGGACCATTATCCACGAAAGAAAGGAAAAGAGATGGGTTATACAACTAATAGACTTTCGTTATTTTAACTAAGTGGAAAGAAGAGGTTACAAAATTAATTCTGTTGGTGGTTCACACATTTTGATAGATAATGGACCTGTAAGGCATATTTTGCATGATCCCCCTATTATACTTAAAATTGTTGCTCTTGTAGCCTAACATTAGGTGCCAAAATATCAATCTTGTCATATTCTTAACTAAGTATTCCTAAAATATAAATTGCTAACTAACATCGATAAAACTCTGTATTGTTGTGGCGTCAGCTCGTGTGCGTTGTCCATTCATAACATAAATAACAGGGTATATGTAACTGCAATCCTCTTAAATGTGTCAATTTGTAATTTGGACTAAATTGTTTTTTCTTGCACGTCGGTACTATTCATCAAGGTCATCCAGTATTTGCTTAATTGTGACGTGTGACCAATTATAGTTTATGGACCATACAAACAAAGTGCCAAATAATGAAATGATTTATTCCAAAGGACATTATGTAAAGGGGATTGTTGTGACAGTAATCCTTGTCAAATGAAAATTGTATCGATCTGAAATTGGTTTTAATAGAACCGGATAGACCCACGGCGGCACCACGCAGTTCAGAGAAGAATGTAAGGTGGTACTCATAAGCCATATTGTGCAGACGGGAACCGTGACAGTGCCAGCCGGAACCGACCCCAAGCTGATCCTCGAGATGTTTGACCGGCAGCGCAGCCCCCTGAGCGTCCCCGTGCCCCCCGCTTCAACCCCAACCGAAACACACTAAGTTACTACATGCCCATCACCGAACTGTCTGTCATTCAAAGAGACACCCATTACCGAATCATTAGACACAACTCCAACCGTATAAGATTCTTCAAAATTACACCAGTACACCTTATACGATGCCCTAATAACATATTTGGGGTACATCGCATCGGATTGTGGGACAACCAGTATATGTGTGTCGATTGTATCGCAATTGTACCGAACGGTATAACCGATACGGCTTCCATGTTTGCCTATCATCGGATGTCGGGATAATCGAGATTAATGTTGAAAATATTTTAAGAATTTAATGAACTGGCTTTTGTACACGAACATTTACAGGGCATTTTTTGTGCACGTAATTGGGTAATCAAAATATTATCTCGTTTATTCCGCCTATACTGGAATTGTATATCATATCGTTATTAATTATCGTATTGAATCCACCCACCGGTCTTTGGATACCGGTACATTACTTTTTAATATGTGTATTATTTTTTACCATAGGTAATAATGTTAGTAAGTTGAATGTGTAAATGCAATGTGTAACATTATTTTTGTCATAACTTGACAGCTATAAGTACTGCCATGTTACTTTCATTTGAAATATTTTATTCCATTTATCTTCTGCTTTATGAACAGTGTACGAAGTTTTAAATTGTATCTTTTTATGGAGAGCATATAATATGTCTGTCAATTAAGTACCATGTTCTAGAAATTTTAAGGATGTGATTTTCTTTCTATTGCTTCTTGTCTTTGTATTGTATTAACCCGAAATTGCTTACAAATGATATAACGCGTACTTAAAACCAGGAGCTTATTAATAACACTTATTTATTTGAGTACAAACGAAAGCCATAGCAACATTCGTTGTATAACAATACTACAATTTGATTGTGGATTGTTGTAACGTAATTATAAGTGAACAATGAGAAATTAATGTACCAATTTAGCTCATTAAGTTTAACCTTTCGAACATTCTTTGATGAATGTGGTGTGCCTATTTATTTCTTTTTTATAATGAAGAGAATTGTATCTAGGTAATTACATAGATCATATGACAAGTAATATTAGAATATAATACCTATGTTGTTATATATAGGAATAAGTTTGCGCGGCGACGGTCGAGTGGTATAATAATAATATATTGTAACAGTTTTATTGCCAATTTTGATAATAATAACTGTTGTAACACAACATTTCCTTTCAATTGCATTGTATATTCAGTAAATAAATATTAATTATAATAAATTATAATGAATGGATGGAAATGAAAAGTTTTATGCAATATTTTTTAGCTTTTTTGTAGAGATTTTTTAATTTTATATTTACTATTTTACGATTTTGTTTGTACCTAATTCGACTTGTATTCTTTTATAGCTAAACGGCAGCTGATACAATTTTTTCAGACCATAACAACATCACAATTTGTGATAAATACGGGATTGATTTATAGAAATTATAATATTTTTAATAGTGATAAGGCTGTTTGTTTTGGACGATGTATTAATGTGGTCCATACGTATTATTGTTATACTGTAGCAAGCGCTGCTCACTCGTGAGTCATTGCGTTTATTTAGCTTCTCTTTATTGTACAATTTCCTCGTATCTATTCTAACATTTTTAAATTTGATACGATATTTGCTATTTGTATCCAATATTTTTAAATGAGAATAAAAGCTAAGACTATGTATACATGAATTGTTGTTTAATTTTTCTAGGTTATAACAGCACTATCACATTTCAGGTCGTCAATCGCGCGTCAATCTTCGTTTGTTCTAAACTAGTTCCTGCTAGGTAATTAGAGGGAGCGATCCCAATTAGTTCATTCGGACAAATTAACTAATTCGGTCTTTTAGTCCTTTTAGTTCCTTAATTCAGTGAGATTTGGGAATATGAAGGGAATGGGAACCGTTACGGTCTTTGAAAGACACGGAAATAAATGATCCGTATGAACGATTTATAACTTAATTAATTAATGTTTTATTGTTTTCCCTCTGATAATATACTTTTTGTTTTTCGAAAAAAGTACAAAGAAAATAATTGTAATTAAGATTTGTACAATTATTTTCTTTAATTTTATTTAAATGTTACGTTATAATTTTATTTCAAATCACCTAAATTCAATTTGTTGTATTTGTTATTGTATATAGTTATGTATACCTACATGGGTGTAATTATGTTAAATTGAATAAAGAAAATAAAAGTAACTATGAAACAAGTTTCTTGTATACTAATTATAAGTTTATATTTGAGTCTAACTGCAATCAAAATATCTATAGATTTATATGGTCGTACACGTGCTGGCAAGGTTCACCCGTGCATCTCACTCGAACTTGTACTAAAAGCAATGTTAGACCATATATCATTCACGTTTGTGAACTGAAAGAAATAAAAAGACAGGTGAATTAATATTGTCGGAACTAAAAGGCAGGCACATAGTGCACAAGGAACTAATTCCTTTCGGTCAGTCCATTCCTAACAGTTCTTAGTTCATGACTACTTAAGCCTAGTATGCGATTTTAATGCCCTGTACTATTTATTAACGTTCTTCAGAGGGTGCTCACTCAATATGGTTGTGTACTCGATGCTCAATGCACACACACGTGATTTAGTTGGTTACAGATAAAGATCTAAACGATTGATTTATTTCCAGTGGTGTATGATCGCATACATGCTTATATACTCCCGGAGACATAATTCGAGCCACCTTGCATTTTCAATATTAAATGCCCTTAGCTTAAACAATGCTTGATTGATCAAAAACTATTAAGCAACTTTGAAACTGGTATAATAAACGTCATTTTCTTAAGTCTTTATTGAAAATTTGAATTT